CCCACTAGCTAGCGATTGAACGGATAACAGACAACGGAAAACAATGTGGAGAAAATTACAGAGCAAAGGCACCGATTCTTATTTTTTGATTAGACCTAGTTCCAGTACGAATTTCCTACTTAAAACATCGATGTACCTCATCATTTTTAAATTTGACTGTTGAAACAAAGACCCATAAAATAGCAATGAATTAACTATATGAAGTATTAAGCATAACATACATTGTCAATATCACATCAAGACGTTCTCTCATTCATATTTGCCATTCAAATAAATAAAGTATGAAGATAAGTGGAGAAAGAAACAAGAGGATTTATTTATTGTTTTCTTTTCATAATAAAATTGGTCCGTAATAGGATTACGTGCACTACCATATATAACATTCTAGCCCACTTAGTGTCCAACTTTATTTGTCATCCAATGAAAACGCTGCATTTCTTCAAAATAATGTGTGTTAATTTCCAAAGCAGAACAAAAGTCGATACTATATCAAATTCCATTCATAGTCGCCTTTTATTTTTCATAGTGCTTCATAGAACGCGTTTGTAAAAATAGTCATCTGCATAAATTTGCACATGCGATTTCATGGACCGCTTTTGAATATTAATTAAGTACAAATGACGTCAAAAGGTCAACCTACATGAATTTTGTATTTATGGATAAATGATATAAATGCAGTTTAGGTTTAAATCCACGTCCTGGCGAAAAAGATTTTGAAGTAAAAACCAATACATAGTGTCAATTAGTATTTTTTTATTTCGAATGTAGGAAATGTCTTCATTAATTTGCAACTAAGAGGGAAGTCACGTGTGTCTATTCACTTTTTTTCGGTAGACAGAAAGTAGACATTATGTTGTTTTTTTACGTGACCTCGTGTTAACACATGACATTTAGTGTATCTAGATGTATCAATCATATCTACTGAGCATCAGTTGTCCGAAAATAAAAGTTTCAATACCGAGCAAATGAAAACTCGCATCCTCTATATCACAAGGGTGCGTATTCGCGCGCAAAGTGACGTAAATCATGCATATTTATAAGGTCAAATTATACACTAACATGAACACAAACATATACATAGATATTGAATGTCAGCATTGTATTTCCTGATTTGCGATCAGAAAATACAAAAATCAAGCACAAACTTGACATTTGACCTTGAAAATCAAGATCATTTATAAACGAAATTCAATTTTAGTCTGGTCTACGTGAAGGTCTTGAACAAAGTGTTGTTGTGGCCAATTATGAAGACAATGTTAGTGTTCATCGGCCTCATTAATATTCACTTTATTACGTCACTACCAGTCCGCTTTATTAAACAATTACATGTGTACCTGAATGGGTGGGTTTTAATTATGCATGATTTACGTCACTACGCATGAAGTTACATTTCAGTCGGGAATATGGAGGACGGCATAATATGGCTGAGTTTTCAGTTGCTCGATACGGAAACATTTATTTTTAATGAGTTAGACAATTGATATTCAGTAGCTAATATCTGATATGAGATATACATGAATACACTAAATGTCATGTGTTAACCGTATTTTCCAAAAACATAATGTACTTTCACTTTCTGTGTACCGGAAAAAAGTGAATAGACACACGTGACTTTCCTCTAAATTACAAATTAAGTAATAGATATACCATTGCTGCGTTGACGATTTCTGGGTTTGCTAATCACGTGACCTTTCTTATGCCTTAACCTCACGAGACGAAGTCGAGCGAGGTTGCATAAGAAAGGTCACGTGATTATGGTATAATTTACGCAAACCCAGAAATCGTCAACGCACCAATGGTGTATCTGTTTTAACCTATAGCTCCGCCCAGAAACACTTACTCCTTCGATCTTCAAAACTGAAAATTATACCATAGTCTGGGTATGGTATAATTTACGGTTATTGGAAATTATACTTGGAAAAATTTTACATAAGAAGCGCTGAAGAGCTATAGGTTAATTTAAACATCACCTACATTCGTAACAAAAAATATGAATTGACTTTTTGTATTGGTTTTTACTTTTACACGTGCAGTATCTTTTCCGCCAAAGACGTGGATTTAAATATGAACTGCATGTATATCCTTTATCAATAAATGCAAAATTATTATAGGTTGACCATTTGACGTCATTTTTTATAAATTAATATTCAAAAGCGACCCACGAAAGCGCATATGCAAATTTATGCAAATGACTATTTTCACAAACGCGGTTCTATGAAACACTAGGCGACTATGAACGGTATTCTATGGAAGCCGCGGAGGGTCACTTTTGAGTTTCGACTTACAGATGTGTTACTTTTGACTTTCGACTTTTGACTTACGTCTTATGACTTTTGGCTAACCCACTTTACACGTGCTCCAGAAGCTGAAAGCGGCAACGATAGTTTTTTGACTAACCCATTTTACACGTGCTCTAGAAGCTGAAAGCAGCAACGTTGGTTTCAGGTGTGTTTTTTAAACGTTTTAAATAATTTCATTGAGATGTGTCATGGAAGAGAGGATGTGTTAAGGAGGAAATTTAATGTTATTTGATATAATCCCATAGTGGTAATATATCACAGACTTTAATTCAACAAGTGTTGCTGTGTGTTTTGTGCAATCTGCTATGTTCTAAATATGTTCATTATATTAGTGCTTATACATTTTCTGTCCTCATCACAAAATCTGGCCATGAGTAAAAACAAATAACTGTTTTACAAGTAGACAGGAAATAGTCTTTAAATGGCATGGTGCACAGTATTTAACGTGTATCGCAATTCAGCATCTTTAATCAGCATCTTATTGAGCTAACACAGAATCAGTATTTCTCTAAAGAAGTTGAACTGTGTTGATCAATTTCATAAAGAATGGCAAGTGCTCTGTTCATTCACACAAGTACAAAGTTAAATTATAATTGTGATCGAGCAACATTTGCATTTAGCATCAATGCCTAATTTTGTTGTATATTTTAACAATTGAGAAAAGGACACTTAAGAACAAAAATAGATATAGGACCAGTTAGAACAATATCCTTAAAGCATTTAAAATGTTATAATTTATTTCGCGCCTAACAATCTGTGTAAGACGGAGCTAATAGATTTACTTATTTTGTATGCTATGAATGTATTAAGATTAAGATAAAAGATAAACTTGCATTTCAGACACAACTACTGGAAAAAAGATAACGAGGACGAAAACCTTGATGTTGATCTGTGTCTTCATCACTATACTGTTCGATATTACCCAAGCTACCGTGTCAAGGTACCTACCATCAACATCTATAACAAAAAAACTCTGCTGATAAAAGAGTACTTTCAGAAAGCTTTTAAGATCTATGAAATCGTAGCACTTTTAGTGGTACGGCATGGCGTTACGATGTCATTGTGTACAGTGAAGAGAATTTTTAAACGCTTAAATTTTGAACGGCGTAACTCCTCTTGAGACTGTGTCTGATGTTATAAGCAGAGAAATACAAACAAGTGAACAATACACAGGATACCGTACAATGTGGCGTTGGTTAAAGCTGGATTACCACATGTAAGTCAAGAGGGACGACGTCATTGAAATAATGAGAGAGCTTGATCCAGATTGTGTTAAGATGCGGAAAGCGCATCGCTTAAGCCGGCGCGAATAATACGCCAAAGGACCAAGGTTCATATGACAGATATGAACGGTTACGACAAACTTAAACCATAAGGGTTTTTGTGTCCATGCTGCTGTGGATGGGTTGAGTAGAAAAATTATGTGGTTAGAGGTTTCGAACTTAAATAACGACCCACACCTTATTGCAAGATACTTTTTAGACGCATTGATTTAACATAAAAAAGCCCCCCCCCCCTCCCAAATAATACGTTGTGATGGTGGTACGGAAAACTGCATTGCTTTACAATTGCAGCAATACTTCAGACACGATTCTACCGATCCGTTTGCTGGTTCTCGAAGCGTTGTAGTTGGAAAAAGCACATCTAACCAACGCATTGAGAAGTAGTGGTTTACATTACGACAAAAAATGGAATTCATTGGTTGATTAAGTTTTTCAAAGACTTACGCGATACAGGTGTACTTAATGATCTGGACCCAATACAATGTGAGAACTTAAAATTTTTCTTCATGGATTTTATACAGGACCGGATTGCACACCAATGGAACGTTCATGAAGTAAGACAACAAACCAGTACTTCTGTTATTTGTGGAAAACCTGACACATTGTTTATTTTTCTACCAGATCTGTATGAAACTCACGACTTCGGCAATGCAGTTAACTTGAGAGACGTATATATTTGCAAAACCATGTATTCACGCCCAAAAAGACAATGTGAGGAATTCGTAACCAGACCTACAGATGCCATTGGATTCGCTGAGTCTGTGCTACAACTGTATACCGAGTTGAACGACTTGATTTTGAGAATGGATTTAACATAAATACGCTTTGAAACGACTAATACTGAATGTTTTCTTTTCATGTTTTTGATATATACTAGGTGACTATGGGTTAGGTTAAAAAAAAGATGTTTTAAAATCATAAAGACGATAGTTTACAATTTCACTTTATTATATAGTTGTTTTAACATATTGGTTGTTTGGGGTCCGCCTGGGCTCCTTGCCACTGGTTCTTGCTGCTGGGTCGTATGGGGGTTGCGTTCATTGAACGCCGCCTTTTCTTGATGATCTTGTTTATCATATTGTTAATATTGAGCAATTTACAATATATCTGTAAGTTATCATTTAAGTTATGGCCACTCTAATGGGCAATATAAGGGCTTGTAAAATTGACAACTTTGTTGAGTTGTGTTCCTTAAAGACATCTGTTTTCAAAATTTAAAAAAATACCGTACGGATTTCGAGTTGTAGGCATTATTATGAGTCAGAACATATACATTAAAAAGGTTTTTTAAAAGAAATATATGTATCTAAAGTCTAAAAAAATCATCTGTGTCATCTCATTTAAACATGTTTTGCAAGTGTTGTTTGTTTAAATGCAAATAATAACATTCTAGTAATGAACTATGCGTGTTAAATGAATTGAAAGTTCTGTACGTTACATAGTATAGTACAGAACATATGTCTTAACATGGCGGGATTCACAAATGCGCGAGTCATTATGCATAACGGTCACGTGGTATTAGGCTGTATTTGGCGGTAAAATAGAGCGGGTTTTCATTCTAGGCTTGACTTCTGTCCTTTCAAGGCGTAAATTTTATTAGGCTTTATTTTGAAAATGTCTGACGATGACAGGATGGATGAAATGGAGGGGATTATTGAAGACAAGGTGCAGTCAGCATTGAAAGAGAATAATGAGCAGCTGTTGAAAAATATTGAGGGCATGATAAATAAAATAAGTGTTCCAATTCCTTCTTGTTCTGATATTCAAGAAAAACCAAAACTTAAAAGGAAGAGTAATGACGAGCAATACAGACATAATGCTAAAGTAATGGCTAAATTAGAAGATGTTAGCACATCTTTGTCTTCACAAGATATCGATAGAGCACGAGTTTCAGTTATAGAAGGTAACATTTTTTTCATTTCGTTCGTAACCAATTTTATAAATTTGCGTGGCCTGATCAGTGTAGTCTAAGGTATGCACTATGTAAACATAGTATGGGCTCGATGTAGCAGTGAATGTGTATTGAATGCATGTATAAAATATTTGCAAAGAGTTATGTACAGTATAATTGAAATGCTTTATTTTTATTTAGCAAAAGACCTTATAAAACGGAGGCAGAAGTTAATTCAACTGGCTGATGGTTCTGAGCTGGGTTGACGCCTCGTGGCGGAGTATGAGTCGAATCCAATTGTGTCTGGCAGTGAAGACGAGAAGCGCATTTACAAAGCGGAGGCCAGGGCGAATAGGAAGGCTAAAGCGGATAAGGTCAAGAAGGCGAGAATAAGGAATTTGCCTTATCGTAGACGAGTCAACACGGGGGAACAGACGACTAGTCAGCCTCAGCGTTCTATGGGTTCTACAGGACAGACTCAGCGTACAGGAGCATGTTATACCTGCGGGGATTTTGGATAGTGGAAGGCAGACTGTCAGCAAAACAGGCGTCCTAACAATAAGTTAAGTGTTTCTAATTGTCATATTTTTTGTGATGAAAAGTCGCAAGACTGTATGGTTGACAACGGACTTTCTGTCCAGAGAGAGGGTATTATGTTAGATACCACGTTAAATGTTGATTCTTTAGATTGTAGAGAAGCTAGTAACTTGAAGTCTGGTTGTCATAGTAACGATTATCCAGCAATTTTCGGTAAGAGTTATATTTGCAATAATACTGATCAATGTGAAATATCTACTATTGCTGAAAAGGATAAAAATCATGTAAGTATTAATGGTTTATCGCCAAAAGGGCGTCTTAAGGAATCTTTAGAATACTGGAGAAAAATCACTTCAGATAGTTATTTACTTGACGTTGTAGAAAATGGATATAGGCTACCCTTTAAAGAAACGCCCCTGGATATATATTTAAAAAATAACAAGTCTTCAAGAGAAAATCCAAATTTTGTAGAATCAGAAATAAGCTCTTTATTGAGCAAATGTGTTATCTCACAGGTTCAGAATAAACCAAGAATAATTAACCCTTTAACAGTCGCTTACAGTAAAACTGGTAAGCCGAGATTAGTTTTAGATTGAAGGCACATCAACCCTTGTTTACATTTGTTCAAAATTAAATTTGAAAACATTAAAGTCGCTCAACAACTGTTTGACATTTCCAGTTATGTATATACATTTGATTTAAAAAGCGCTTATCATCATGTAGAAATTTTTTCAAAACATAGAACTTTTTTAGGTTTTTCTTGGACATCTAAGGGTAAAACAAAATATTATATGTTTAACGTCCTCCCTTTTGGCATAGCAACCGCAGGTCATATTTTCACAAAATTATTAAGGTGTGTAGTAAAATTTTGGCGATCTTTAGGTCACAAAGTCGTTATGTTTTTAGACGACGGTATTGGAGGTAATGCGGATTTTCAGCAAGCTAACATTTCAAGTTTGTTCATTCAGAAAACTTTAAATGAATTGGGATTTTTGATAGCTCAAGAAAAATGTAATTGGTTAGCGTCTCAACATGCTAGCTGGTTGGGGCATGATTTAAATTTTTTGTCGAATAGATTGTTTTTCAGTTGTGAGAGAATTAAACGTCTCGAATCATCTATAGATGTTTTGTTGTTAATGCTCAGGGCTGAAAATACACAACTTATTCAGGTGAGATCTTTAGCCTCAGTTGTAGGCCAGGTGATATCACTGCTTAGTGTCATGGGGACAGTAGTTTGTCGCAAAACGAGGTATTTGCATAAGTGTATAGAAAATAGAACAAGTTGGAATAGCAAAGTAAGTGTGACAGACTAAGCTTTACAAGAATTGTTGTTTTGGCGAGAAAATGCGTCGGGTATGAACAAAAAAGGTAAAATCTGGAAAGAAAAATTAGTATAGTTGATGCAGTCGTGTTTACAGATGCAAGTAGATTGGGCTACGGTGGGTATATTGAGTTTGTGAATACATTTGATAGTAAGGAAGTAAGTTCAGGAAGTAAGTATGCCCAAAACTTTGAGACTGGAAGTAAAGATTTTAAGAAAGTAATAAATTCGAACCTGGTGCCCGCAAAAGAAGTAAACATTAAGTCTCCAGAGGTAGACTCAATCAAGGAATCCTGGGAGCTGGATTCAAACAAAGCATGCAAGGTAAAATGTTTAAACCACAAGTCTTCAGTAGAAGACTTAAGAAATAAGTCCCCGGAAGTGGACTTGAATTTGTCAAGGGTAAAAGTCTTGAACTGCAAGACTCATGTAATGGACATTACAATATCGTCCCCGGAAGAGGACGCTAATATAGATTCACCGGAAGTGATCTCAAGTTCCGTGTCTTTAGTATATGACACGAGGATAGACGGGCTCCCGGAAGTGAGCTGTCGTTTTAGTGGGTTCCTGGAAACGGACCATTTTTTCAAAAATAATGTTTTAGATGGGCATTGTATGTACGATAGTGATTTGTATGAATTTTCAGATCGTTATGCAGATTACGAACATGATCAAGGGTTCAGTGATAGAGGGAAAGTATCACATTTAGTTGGCGCATGGCATGCGCAAGAAATAAAAAGTAGTTCTACATGGAGAGAATTAGAGGCAATGTATAGGATGTTGTTAAGTAATCTTCCGAAACTACGTGATAAGAGTATCAAATTTTATACTGATAACAAAAATTTAAAGTTTATCCTTCAATCAGGTAGTAATGTCGAGCAATTACATGAAACTTAATTGCTTAGATTTTCACAGAACATGTGATGAGAATCAAATTACATTTGTCGTTGACTGGATTCCTCGTTCGTTAAAAAGTAGAGCTGATCATTTAAGTAGATGTTTAGACTCAGATGACTGGTATATAAGCAATCATGTATTTCAGTATTTAGATAAAATGTGGGGTCCACACACTGTAGACCGATTTGCTACACACTATAATTGCAAGTGTCGGAGATTTAATTCAAAATGGTGGGTACCTGGTACAGAGGATATTAATTGTTTTGATCAGGAGGTGTGAAGAATGAAAATAATTGGTTGGTACCACCACCAAGCGACGTTGCTAAGACGATAGTAAAACTGGAAATAGAGAAGTGTATTGGTACACTTATTGTTCCAAGGTGGAGGTCTGCACAATTTTGGCCTTTATTGGTAGATACACAGGGACAATTTATAGATTTCATTAAAAATACATTTGTGTTACCCTTTACAGGCGCAGTTTGTAGAGGCAAGGGAAACAACGGTGTTTTCAGCAAAAAACCGTTTTCTTTCAGAATGATGGCATTGCGGTGCGACTGTACCAGCTAAAAGATTTAAATATATAACAGATAAAAAACGTATAGTACAGTCAATTTTCAAGATTGTTTACTATGCTTAATATATTTTCAGGTGTTGGCTTAACACGAAATCTGAAAAAACAATTTCTGGATGCCGGAGTTCCAGTGAGAAATATTGATAATGTAGTGGGCAGGATGGCCGATCAAATTTTACATTCCAGAGCGGATGGAACTATTTCAAAGTATTATTCACATGTTAAACAATTTAAAGAGTTTTGTTCAAAACACGGATTTCAAGCTTACCCAGCTTTTCCTATCCATGTAGCGATGTTATCTTTCGGAGTTAATAGATTTACATAAAATCTGACACTGTTGTTTCAGCAGCGTTTTACGCAATTAGGTGGTTACATGAAATAAACGATTTAACTGATCCCACAAAGAATGCCATTGTGATTAGAATGCTTGAATGTGCAAAAAGAACAAACTCTTAGCCTGTACAGAAGAAAGATGTTTTATTGCCGGAACATTTAGTGAAACTTTGACTTATTTTCAACAACAAAAGACATTATAGTTTTAAGAGACTTAACAATGATTCTTTTGTGTTTTTGCTGCTTTCTTTAGATATAATGAAGTTAGTGATTTACGATGTTGTGATGTTAAATTTTTTGCTGATTACAGAGAGGTTTTTGTTAAAGAAAAGCAAAACAGATGTATATCGAGAAGGCAAGTACGTAGTAATTGCTAAAGGGGTCACTAGTGCGTGTCCGGTTGCTATGTTACAAAGATACATGAATTGTGCCGGTTTGTGTTCTAATTCGGATATGTATTTGTTTCGTCAAGCGTGCAGATCTGGTTCGAGATGTTTTCTTTTAAAGAAAGACAAAAAGCTTAGTTACTCTCGCGCACGTGAATGTATTGTTAGCAAGTTAAAATTAGTCGCGCCAGACATGATTTGGGTACGCATTCATTTCGCGCAAGCGGAGCTTCCGCGGTCGCGAACGCAGAAGGTGTTTCAGAACGTTGCCTTAAGCGACATGGAAGATGGAAGTCTGATTTAGCTAAAGATTCATACATAAAAGATTCTATTCAAAAGAGATTGTCTGTTTCTAAGACGTTAATGTTATAAACATATGTCTAATATACAAATATACTATTAGATCTATTTCTGTATTTGTTCTCGAATTTGAATATAAACAAGTCTCTAACATTTGTATTTGTTCTATCGAAGTCTTGCCCACTGCAACATTGTGTTATGTTATTTGTGAGTAGGCATGTTAAGACTTGAAAGTTCTGTACTTTACATAGTATAGTACAGAACATATGTCTTAACATGGCGGGATTCACAAATGCGCGAGTCATTTGTGCATAACGGTCACGTGGTATTAGGCTGTATTTGGCGGTAAAATAGAGCGGGTTTTCATTCTAGGCTTGACTTCTGTCCTTTCAAGGCGTAAATTTTATTCAAATTCGAGAGCAATTCATTCAGCAATTTTGATAAGTTGTTTTGTATTTAAATGATGACATGTATATAAATACATACAGTCTAATTTAAGCTGTAATATTTTGTTTTATGATACATAATTGTAATTAAGTACGTGCATCATCGTATGTAAGAAAAGTAGCCTTTTTAAACTAAATTCGCATGCTAGGACGTAGTCCGTAGAATCCTATATTCGGAGGAATGGACGATTCAAATCGCTCAGCCAGGCGTTCTTTATATCTGGCGGTGCTGGGGTTGTGCGCATGAACTCATGCCTTAATGCCAGCGTTGACAGGTCGAAAGTTCTCCGTGTTACGGACACACGTTTTTTTTCCTCCAAAAAAAGAGGTTTCGGTTCGTGGACGGCTGCCATTCGTAGATGAATATCCATCAGATTCTGTGGTTTTATGTTGTAAATGTTGTAAAAATAACCGCAGAGTGATTTGGAGCATGTAACATTAAATATCAAAATTTATAAAGTATTAAGTTTAATGCAAGTGCATTTATTGAGATATTTAATTCAATATGTATGTATATTCTTAAATGCATAATGTACTCCTCCAGCAATAAACTTGAATAAAGCCTATCGAAGACTTGCCCACTGCAACATTGTGTTATGTTATTTGTGAGTAGACATGTTAAGACTGACGTTTCCCTACCCCACCCATTTGAACATTTTCTAGCATATCATCCTGAATTAAGAAAATCACTAAAATTACATTAGTCAAATTTTATAATAAAAGGACTTGAATCAAAGATTGCTGAAAACTTTCGACAAGTAGATTGATTAATTCTGTGAAACATTTAAGACTTTTACCGCCTTGTTTGTAATATATAAAGCATTGAAAATGTTATATGCCGTATTTGCTTTTAGATTTAGCATTGATAAGGCAATGAATATCTGAATATCTATAAAAAAAATAATGATAGAAAACAAGCATATTTTCCATCTAAATTAAGTTAGAAAAATACTGTAAAAAGAAAAAAATGAAGGTAAAAAAATAGTTGGCCCGTGTAGGATTCGAACCCACAACCCTCTGATTTCATGCAACTAATGTAAATACTCTTGAAATGGAGGTAGTGCATTAAAATGGTCATTCTACGACGTATCATACCTTAGCGGGTCATTTCTTAAACAGTCTTTGCATGCAATTTTTCACGAAAAGAGTTCGTGTAGTGGAAATCTTCGTAAAGTTATTTTTTAAAAATCAAATCTAAACACATTTATTGTACAAGGTAATGGCCTTTTGAAAGATTTCAAACTCAGCAGTCTGTAAATATTACTAGTAATTTGTAAAGTTTTTACATTGCAAATATATGTGTGTGTAACCAATGTCATAAAGATTGCAAGCGTGCGTTTTTCATCAATATTTGTCATCCTTTACTTACCAGGTATGTGAATATATTCAACTGTTTGCAACTCTGTGACTTTTTACGTAAAATACATGTAGTATTTATTTATGTTTAAGGCTTACCTTTTTCGAGATTAACTGCACTATATTAATCGACTTCTGGTTGTGTCTATTCTACCAAGCCCTGGTTACAAAATGGCTGCCCGACGAGGAATAGAACCTCGGTCTTCCACGTGATTGGCAGGGACACTTTCTACTATACAATATGTCACTGGAGGAGAGAGATATGCAGCCAGACCGGGACTCGAACCTGGAATCCCTTACAGGGTTAGTTCTGTCCCGACCGAACTTACACATCATCTTCCCAGGTACTGAATAGAGTCTTACCGTGACATATAAGTAATACATGTAATTACAACTATGTGTAATTAGATTCAAACGTTTTATCTCATCCGACAACAAACAAGCACCATACTTATATAGGAGTGTATCTATGGTATTAAATGAAATAATAATGATTGTATATTTTCAAAAAAACAATCATCTTGTACAAAATGTGGACTTGATTTACACTCTCTGCTTAGGTTTTGTATGGAAGCATAAACTGCCTTTTAATTGTGTCTCTTCTTCATGACTTGCGATACTTATGACTTGTGTGATTTTGAACTTCTGATTGTGACTTAAATGTTTGACAAAATTGGCGCGTATTTTCGAATGAAATATGGCAGAACGAAAACGCTTTATATTCGACATGTTTCATTTATATTGAGGCGTTTATACACATGTTCTCTA